CGCTGTCAGCCAGCTACGGCTCGCCTCTGTGGGCCGCGGAGCACCTGTGCCGCAGCCCCGACCTCTTCGCGGAGCAGCGGCGGAGCAAGCACAGGCGCTTCCAGAATACCCTGGTGGTCCTGCACAAGTCCGGTCTGCTGGAGATCACTCTGAAAACCAAGGAGTTGATTCGTCAGAACCAGGCGACTCAGGCGGAGCTAGACCAGCTGAAGGAGCAGACCCAGCTGTTTATAGAGGCCACCAAGAGCAGGGCTCCTCAGGCCTGGGCCAAGCTGCAGGCATCGTTAACATCGGGCTCTAGTCGTGCCGGCAGCGACCCAGAAGCGTTCTCTGACCACCCAGACATGTAACACAGGAGGCGTATTTCCCTGTTACTTGAGCGGTTCTTTTTAACTCTTGCGGTTTCTACTCCTGTTTCCCAGAGCTTATGTAAGAGCTTTTCCTTCTAAACTTAAACCATTTGGCAGTTCACTTACGAAGCCACATGCCAGGACCTGGCTGTCTTAACCTGTGGTCTGTGCACAGTTTACACACGTCTCCCTTCTTCTGAGGACCTCGGATGCGGAGTGTCCTCAAGTCCCCCTTAACTTAGCCTGCAGGCTGGTAGATGGGTCACGGGGCAAAGCAGGCGAGCTGGTTGTGTGGGGCTCTTCTGGCTGCCACCTCCCACCATCCCACTCACTCACTGTGATCAAGGGCACAGTGACAGGGATGAGTCCACAGAGTGACATCTGTCAAACCAGGGAGTAGGTGACATAAGGATCCCTTTGTGGATCTCCTCATGGATATCTTATGCACAGAGAAAAATACGAGGTGTGCTCATGTTCCACGAGGCATTGTGCCATTTGGGTGAAAACTAAAATGCCATGGGCACAGGTTGGGCCGAGGATGTAGGCGCTTAATCATGTGAAGCTTTGTCTTCCTCAACTGGAAAGTCAAGGGGAGAGAAGGGTAGCACCATTGAACTCTTACACTTTAGTTCCAAGCCAGATTTCTCTTCACTTAAACTGGTAGGCAAAATACTTCAGATTTTTAAAGTATGGAATAGATTCGGTACCATCTGGAATTATAATTGCTGAATTGCTTTTTTTTTCTCTTTCTTTTTTTTTTTTTTTTTGACTTAGACTCTGAAGAAAGTAGACATGGCCAGCATCTCTTGATTGGGAGCTGGAAGATTCTGGAAATTTGTGCTTCCCCCACCCCCTCTTTTGAAACAGTGCAACTTGTTGTATGTATGAAAATCTCCAAGGTAGCTTTGTGGTTCCTAAGAATGGATGTAAGTTAACCCCTCTGCTGCCACTTTTTTTTTTTTTTCCTTTTGTTTTTGTCAAACAGGAAAGAAATGATTACCGAGCTTGGTAAACCTTGAATTAAAACCATCCTGAGGTCATGACACAGAAATTGGAGACCATTCTTCGTACCGATTTTATTTTCATACCCAAAGTTTTCGTTTGTCGCCTGTCACAGTGACATGGAGCGATGTGGGGCGGAGTCTTCTGTGTTGCCTACGTGCATTAGATATCGGCAGCAAAGCCAGAGGTGTGGTGTTGGTTATTTGAAGTTCATCTAGAAATGGAGGGTGTGATAAGAATTTCCAGATGATCCCGATTCTTTCGGCTTCGTGCTAAAGGTAAATGGGATTTCTAAGTAGTAGCATTTCAGACTTTTTATCCTTTCATCTAAAAATGTTGAAAAATCTTGAAATTTTGAAATTTCAAATCTTGAAATTTGAAATGTTGAAAAATCATCTTGAAAAATCTATGTACAAATTATCTTAAGAAGAAGTTCTGTATGACCAGCTTCGTCTTTTCTGCACTAAAATGTTCTTGAAGTTTTACCAAGGCCAGAAGCTAATGCTCAGATTTACCTGGTAGTTGTTAACTGTAACATAGTTTTGAAATGACAAGACTTCAGATTGCCCACACTTTGTTGTCCACCATGTATGATTTACATACGGCTGACCAATTTAGAAATAGCTTGGTAAAATCTCTACACTCTCCTGATCCAGTGCAGAATTACTACCTGCCATTTACTTTCTGAAAAAGAGTTTCAAAATCCCAGCAAATGTGTCTTTAAGCAGACCCTCGGCTCCTTTGAATATTCTCCTCTTGGCCCACTCCCTTTGCCTCCCCTGAATCTGTGCTGCTACGACAGCCCTGCTCTGCGCACCATGCTAGGAAGCTTCCTTTTTGGCAGAATATGTTGGCAGCAAAGCTAGAGAGACAGGTGGATTCAGAAAAGCCTGGGCACCAGTCATGAGTCTTACTGAGTGTCAAAAATCTGAACATACTTGCTGAGAACCAAATTTATTCCATCAGAAAAACCCTCTGTGGAGCTATAAGCCTCTTGGACTCTTCTTCCTAGATCAGGGTTTGCATTTCCCTTCCTGTTATGGTAAAAGATGATGAGAGCCATCATCGATCTGCACAGCTGAGTGGCAGGGCGAAGCAGCACCTCCCCGGCTCTTCTCTGATCGTGTGACTTAGTGTTGGAAGTCGCTCTAGGCTGTTAGCATGGGTGTTCCTTCCCTCGTGGAGCTGTAAGCAGATGAAGCCAAATAGGGAAGCTAGTTCTTGGAAGAAGAAGTCCGTTGAGGCTCCCAGACGTTTGGGGCCAGAAGCCAGATCGGCAAATGGAGGAACCTCGGAGTAGACCAGAAAGATCTCCATTGGTTGCACACGGCTGTAAGTAGGAATGGTCTTAGAGAGCATGCTTTGATCTGGTATGAACTACTGTGGCAGGGCTGCTGGCTTCTGAAGGCGAGAAGCAATTCTTAGTTCAGACCAACCCTTAAAGAGAACTTTTGGCAGATTTTTTGGCCATGTTGAAACACATCTAGAAAAAGCTGCTGGTTGAATTGGCTATGGGAATGGAGTTTAATAACATTTGTAATTTATTACAGTCGTTGCTTTTTATTGATTATAGTATTGTCTGACTTTACTATGAGTCCTTCAACGGAAAAGTAACCCTTGTGCATATATTGAAGTGTTTTTCCTGCTATGAATTCTTTAGGGTAGAGATTTATTTACCAAATGTGAATTCTTTTGAGGAAGTGTGAAGTTTTGTAGAAATCGACTGTGAAATGTCAGAGAAAAATAAAAGTCACTTACTTGAAAACTATCCGGCCTTTTTGCTTTATAACTGCTTAAAAAATACTAAGCGAAATCTAGAGTAAGTACATTTGACCCTTGAATAACATGGGTTTGAACTGACCCGCTTACCCACGGATTTCTTTCGATAAGTACACGGATTTCTTTCGATAAGCAAATGTCACTTCCTTGTGGTTTTAATAACACTTCCTTCCCTCTAGCTTACTTAATTGTAAGAATACAGTATATAATACATATAACACATAAAATAGGTGTTAATCGACTCTATTACCGGTAAGGCTTCCGGTCAACAGTAGGCTTTTAGTATTTAAGTTTTGGGGGATGCGCGGATTTTCAACTGCAGGGGGGTCGGCACCCCTCAGCCCCATGTTGTTCAAGGCTCAACTGTATTTGATTTAAGTTTCAAACATATGTACTCCTGTCATTTGGGAATGTTGGGATCAGATACTGAACCGGTGTGAACTTAAAAGGAAGTGAAGGCGATCTTAATGCATATGAAAGTCCCATGTTACCTGGCATCTTAGAAGTTTATATTTGGTAGGTTGGGAGGAGTAAGAGGAGAATACAGTCCAGTGGTTTCTTTCTTCCTTTTTAATGTTTATTTTTAAGAGAGAGAGTGTGAGTGGGGGTGGAGCAGAGAGCGAGGGAGACACAGAATCTGAAGCAGGCTCCAGGCTCCGAGCTGTCAGCACAGAGCCTGACATGGGGCCGGAACCCACGAACCGTGAGATCATGACCTGAGCCGAAGTCGGATGCTTAACCAACTGAGCCACCCAGGCGCCCCTCCTTCTTCTGATCTGACACTTTCACAAATGTCAAAACTACAGTTGCCTGCTGGGATAAACTAAAACCACATGAAATGGAAGTTCTTCCTACAACAGAAGTCCTTAGCAAGTACAACTCCAAGCCTCCCTCTGTGCTTCTTAGAGTTCATTCCTAACACTCAGCTCCTCCCTGTTCCCCAAGGCCAGTCAAGCCGCCCCTCCCCAGATTTTTAAGACGCTGCAAAACTACGAGCTTATCCTCATGTAAAGGCCTAGAGGGTTGATGCCAGAGTCTAATTCTTAGAGCATTATTTCTGTCCTACACAATTTTCTAAGTAACTTTATACGGCTATACGACCCTTTAAATGAAATGTCAAGATGGCTAGAGGAGGCCCCTCCTGAAACTGACAGCCATCCTTGCATCTGAGTGGCACTGAGAGAGGCAGATCACACACAGTGGATCTCAGGAGGCTAAGGTAAGTGAGGTTATTTGAGTTTGTGGCCCCGGTCCCTTGGCCTGATTCCTGTACAGGGAAATATCTGTCCACCTAGGACATCTGTTTGGTCCACCTTGTGGATGGCATCACGGTAGACTGTAGCCCAGTGTGATGGGGTCTAAAGACCTGCATGCACCTGTCCCCTCTGTTACTCATCAGCTGGGTGGCTTTGGGTAAGTCACTAAGCCTCTCTAGGTGTCACTCCTCCTGGCTGAATAATAAAGAATTGTAACTGGTTCTCCATGGTTCTTCCCAGCCCTCACCAGTCGAAAGATCTCTAGCTGTGTTATAGGTGAGCCATAAAATTAACAGATTTTTAAAAACCTGGGGTGCCTACAAAGTAGCTCCCTAGTGCTCTGATAAGATGACTTTATAAAGTGTTCCGTCAGATTTTTAACTTCCGTGTAGCTCTAAGAGAAGCATTTTGCTGGTCTGCCTTGGTTTTGCCTTTCTTATGATTGCCTGGTTGCAGCTAAAATGGATTCACTACTTCCCATATAAAAGCCTGCTCTCAGAGATTACGAGCCCCATAGCAGAGTTGTTTGGGGTTAAATCAAATCACCGCCTTCCTAGTCAGTCATCTGCAAACGGCTCCTTCCTTTCGTCTCTAATGAAGGAAAACTCATATATTTTGGAGGGCATGTCAATTAGCTTTTATTTCAGTACAGATTTCTCTCTCCCCAACCAGGGAAGATGTTTCTGTGAGTGTTATAAGGAGTGTCTGAGGTTGACTTAACATTGTTTTTAAGGTAATAGTCATAGACCATGTAAATGAGGTGGTACTTGATGAGGACTTTATTCTGTTCCCAGCCTCCTGGGTATCACTTGCATCTGCGCGGAAGAGGGGTGGAGATGAGGTCCTCCTGGAGGCAGCCCGATCAGAAGGGCAGGAGGAAGAGGCAGTAGGAAGCATCCTTTATCTCTGCTACCTCAGTTTCCTTTATCATAGGAGGGTGTAATCTTGTGTTCGTTTGGCATCCCAAGATGTTGGTGAGGTGCAAAAAACAGTGCCGTCTCTAAAGTGTTTTGAGATCGCAACACAGAGCCAGGCAGCCTCCTGCAACTCGGACCCATCAGCAAAATGCAAGTGAGGGCATTACACCCTTACGAGTTGTCATTTGCTTGGAATAATTATGACTGTCTTTTACCAAAGTCTCATTTCCAACTAATGGGAAGACAGCAAATATCAACCCAGCCTTTGACTGGCTTCCCGGAAGGAGATATTCTGTGGGTCCCTGGCGTCCTGTGACCCACTCCGGCCTTTTCCACTCAGAATTCCTGCCTCGTTCTTAGAGCACGTGGCTTTCCTCCCTCTCTCTCGGAAGGACAGTTATGCAAACCGTTAGAGAATTGCTTGGAAGAACAGTCTGTATGGTTCCTGCCTCAAATTACAGCAGCTGGAGGAGATGAGCAAGAAAGAGAAAAGCCTGTGGAGCAGGAAGTTAACGCAGCGAGTGGGCGGAAGCCGTTAGGAAAGGAAGGGACTGAAAATTGGAAGCAGGATCCCGAGGCCAGCCCGCGTGAGGGCCCAGGCAGCTTGGAAGATTAGGGTTTGGAGCCGGGCCTTCCTAGTGGCTTGAGAGCAGGAGTGAAAATAGCTGCCTTTAGTTTTCCTAAAGACTCTATCTAAGGAACTGCAGTGGCTTGGAGGAGGGGCTCGCTACTTCCGGTGGAAGTCCAACAGGCGGCCGACTGTTCCGGCAACCCTCCCCCCACCAAAAGCCTTGACCGCTGGGGGGCAGACAGGAGCACTTGGCCTGGAGCCTGCCCTCCATTTGGGGCTAAGAGCACGGCAGCTGCTGGGTGTGAGGCTGAGAAACCAAGAGCTGCTGCTACCTGTAGATGGCAAAACGGGAACCACCCCTACGACAGCCAGGTTGCAATCACCCGTCTTTACCCATCCCATGTACAAATGCATAATATGTTGCAAAGTCAGGGGAAGAGAAGACACTTAAAGATGCCCACAAATAAAAAACCTGCACCCTCAGCGGGCCCTGCATCATATTTAACAAATGCGGGAAGGCCTGGTTCCGGAGGTCTAGGGGTCCTCTAGCCAGTGTTTAATTCCTGCTCGCCTCTGTTCTTCAGCAAGGCTCTGGGCTTCTTATTACTGAGCTGCTCAGGAAATGCAAATGAGTGTTCACTTAAGCAAAACACACAGAGGAGAGGCAGTGAACCGCCAAAACAAACAGCCCAGGATGCCCACAGCTGACGGGGAAGCTAAGGCAGCGTTTAGACGTGGGGTTTTCACTGACGGTTTTCACGCTCCAGCAGGCCCGGGAAGGGCCAGAATAACTTGAAGGTGAAAACCCTTTTTTTTAAAAAAGCCTTTCAGTTGATCCTTGTCTACTCAAGATATATTTGGAAGTTTGTGCTTCACAGTCTATGCTGCTTTCATTCTTGAAGCATTTTCCAAGCATCAGTTACACTGTGAAGCCTTTAGCTACTAAGTTGCTAATGTTCCCGTTTTACCAGTCAGGTTGGGCCATGGTGACAGGTCTGGCTTCCTGGCCCCCGCCAACTGCAGGACTGGGGGCATTGTGGGAGCTCACACTCAATGGTAAATGCCTGCCATGCTGATGTTTTGGTTTTGATTTTGGTTTTTGAGAGGAAAAGGGCTCTGGGACCCTGAGGCTCAGAAGTGAGCAGGCCCCTGACATCACAGGTCCGCCCTAGAGGCAGGTCCCACTTTGGGGACCTTTAAAAATCCTCAAACCTGGGGTCTTCACTACTTGATTTGTCACTCCTGCTCCTCCCTCCCCTCAAATTTGTATTTTTCTCAAACCCTGATCATTTCTGCTTCTTGTGAAAGTTTTAATGATTCCTGAAGCTTACCTGATGTAGACATTGGCATGGTTACTTCAGAGTAACAAATACATAAAGTTGTCAGCACGTTTATGTCCCAGGAACTGACCTAGTTGTGGGTGGTAAACAAAACAGGCATCATCTCTGCTGATGTTCTAGTGGGAGGGCAGCAATGACCACCAATTAAGTCCATCATCCCTTTGTTGGTTTGGGTCTCACTAGGTCTCATGGATCCAAAGTTGGGTGTGTAAATCTGGGCAAGGTGATATGTCCTACTCACCTCTACTTTTATTTTAAAGATTAACATTTTGATAACCTGGGGGTTTATCATCCTCCGATTAGGGCAAGGGTCCTTAACGTGAAGCTACTAACTGAGAACAGAAGTGTTGATACAGGCACAATATATTAGTTAAGTCCACCCCAACACCCGCCCAGGCACACTAGGAGAGAGTTCTCACAAGTGGATTATCTGTTTGGTGACTCACCTTCAGATCTTTTGTTTTTTAATTAAAGAATAATTGACACACAATATACTGTTAGTTTCAGGTTTAATCATAGTGATTTGATATTTTTATACATTATGAAATGATCCCCACAACAAGTCTAGTTACCATCTGTCACCACATTCCCAGATTTTTGAGCTCACCCACAATAGCACCTGCGTCCGCATTCTCACTGCATTCTCGCAGCTACGGCCAGCAGGAACATTCACGTGACCCCAAGCGTGAGCACCTTCCGAAGTTCTGTACCATAGGCACCTCACTTGCCTCACCCTAGTCCCGGCCCTGGCAGCGTCAAACACTTACAAAGGCCCAGGGCCCACAGAAAGGCACATGAGGTCCCGGCCCTGGAGCCCTCAGAGCTGAACCAGGAGATGTGACTCACCGGGAAAGCAGCGACACTGGGTAGTGTGGCCTGGTGCCCAAGGCCACCTACAGACCAGAGCTGCAGGAGCTCTCCGAGGCCTGAAAAGGAACTCTAGGGGAGTTGAGATTTGAGCCCAGTCGAGGCATATGGTACAGTTTAGATTAGCTGAGAGGAAGGGGCCAGCATTTTTGGCAAAGGAAAGAGACTGAGTAGAGGCATCATGATGGGATGGAAATATCATAGCTCTGGGTCTGGATCCTGTTGGTTTCTGTATGATCCTAGCAAGTTAGATGACTTCTGTGGGCTTCATTTCCTCATTTGTTAGGTTACGATCTACTCTCAAAGATTATTATGCCATAATGTATAAAGTATCTAGTCCAGTGGCCCCACATGGTGGGTGCTCAATAAACAGTACTCATAAGATTGTTACTATAGGTGAAATGTGAAGCTCCAGGAGTGAAGATAGGGCCAGCTGAGCCTGCCTTGGTTCAAGGTCAGTCTTTCCCTTTGCACAAGGAGTAGCAGCAGACCAGGCCAGCTCCCTGCCTGCTCCCACACCCTGCTGCACCCAGAACAGAGCCCCTCCTGAAGTACACACCCTGCAGAGTACTTGGCAAACACGTTCTCCCCAGCCTGTCCCAAGCCTCACCCCTGTTCAGGGCTACACAGTCAGGGGGTGGGGAGCTATAGAGGAATCTGGAGTATTGATCGTCGGCCCCACCCTCACCGGGAGCCTCCATTTCATACCTGGCCCAGCTTCCTGGCTGGTGACTCTGCCTCCAGGCTCAAGTACAGTCCACCTTCCATGCTGCATCAGGTGAACTTCTGTAAAGCCCCACTTGCTCGCACTGCTGCCCTCCTCAGGCACCCCACTGCAGCGGCTCTCTGGCCTTGGCTGCACGGTGGCAGCCTCTCGGGAGCTTTTAAAATCCAGATGCCAAGGCCACACCCCAGACGAATCCTAGTAGAGTCTCCAGGAGGTAGGACTTCCCCCTTTCCCACCCCCATCAGTAAGTTTTCAAGCTCCTCAGGTGACTGCACATGTGCAGACCAGGCTGGAACGAACTACGCAGGGACTCCCTATCACGGGACTGATATTGGGCTCGGGGCTGGTGGGGAGGAGGGACTAGTGCGGGTGCCAAGGGGGGGCTCTGTTCTGGGTGCAGCAGGGCGGTGGAGGCAGGCTGGGAGCCGTGCTGGTTTGCTGCTCACTGTCCGTAAGGACAAAGTGAACAGCTGACCTTGAACCCAGACCATCTCAGCTGGCCCTCTCCTCCTGGTGCGATCAGTGAGTGATCAGAAGCAGCGCCATCCCCTGGGAGCCTGTCAGAGCGTGGAATCATAGGCCCAGCTGATTCCGAACCCGCGTTTTCACCAGATCCCCAGGTGATTCCCGCACACTGGCAAATTTGAGAAGCACTGGCACCAGTTTTGACTAGATGCTCACAGTGGTCCGAGTGTGGTGCCAGGTGTTTTACACACACGGTGTCATTTCATCTTCCCAGCCTCTCAGCTGTTAGCACCGGCTCTGACAACCAAGAAAACACCTACCATTCATTCAGCAAATCCTCACTGAGTGCCTACTATGAGAGAAGCGTCATGATAGGGATTGGGGATCAAAACCCGGTGTTCCCCTGCTGGAGAAGAACTCAGAGGCCAATGGGGTGTGATGTCAGTGTCATGACTTACCAGCTGTGTGTTCCTGGGCGACTTCCTGGGCCTGTCTGAGGAATTGCACCCGGGAGGGGGCGGGATGCGGACAAGGCTGCCCGGTCCTCGAACTCTGTGACTCCATTTCCCTGGATGAGTCTCGGGTCAGACCACTATTAGCACGGGACCCAAATCTCGCCCTTTTGCGCCCGCGAAGCCCTGTGTGGCTCGGCGAGGCAAGACACCCAGCAGCCCGTTCAGTCCCGGGCTTGGTTCGCCCAGGTCCTCTCAGCGCCCACCTTGGCCGCGCGCGCGAGCGCCGGCGCCTGGAGAACAGGGCTGTGGCCCGGCGGCGCCCCCTTCCGGCGGAGCCGGGCCACCGCAGCGGGTGCCGGGCCGCAGGCGCCGGGTAAGCCGGGCGGGAGAGGCGGTTGAGGCCCCGCCCCGCGCGGCCGCGTTCCACCTGCTGTGGTCCCGGCGCACGTGGGGGTCTGGGGAATCGGTTTAGGGGTTTCGTGTTCCTCAGAGTGCACCACTGTTTCCTGTAATTTAATTTTCTTTCTTGAAAGCGTTGCTAATTAAATTCTTTCTCCGGCGAGCCGCGCGTCCCCTCCCCTGCTCCTCTGTTGATTAAACTATCCCGCAGCAGCTCAGTCATTCTCTGCCTGGGCTGCGGGTGCTCAGGTGGAGGGACCTCGATGGCCGCTCGCCTGGCTGCCCCCTCGGCGGGCGTCCCTCCTCGGGTCTCCTGGCTCCCTTTCCACCTGGACCATGCGAGCAATCTTTGTAGCCTGAATAAAAGCGGGCACAGCCCTTCCCCTGCCACTGGTGACCTCTGCTGGCTGGGAATCCATCAAAATCAACTTCATGTTATTTCACGTTCCCTGTCCTCTCATCTCTGAATCCTACCCCTCACTGCTTTTTTCTCTGCAGCACTATTCCTACCTTCTCCCCCACCGTCCACAGCACAAAACGCTAAGCAGTTTTGCCAGGCTGCCCAGAGACCTGGGGAAGGTCATACAGCGTACGTAGGGCCTAGCTGGGGCTAGAACTTGGCTCTCCTGAAGCTTAATCTCTCAAGAGTCACAAAGTCAGAAACCTCCAGGTGCCAAACAGGCAAGGGAAGAGTGTGGGGTTGCCCTCTGTGGGGTAGTGGGGAGGGGTGGGGTCTGTGGCAAAGCAGAGTGGCTTGCCCTTTCCGGAGTCATTCAAACATCATGCCCCGCTGAAGGCCAAGAGTGTCCAATTCTTGGTTAAGTCTAAGAGGGAGTCCAGTGTCTGAGGATGGCAGTGACTTGCCCAAGGTGACAGGGACTCAGCAGCAGCAGCAGTGGGCACTCTGGACTCAGTGTGGTCATCTTTCTAAGATGCCACTTCCTGGGTGGGGATGTGCAGCCCCCTGCTCAGTTCTGCCCACTGAGGCCTAGTTCCTACTGCTCCTCCTCTCCCACGCTGCAGAGAAATGTCCCAGGACTGCACCCCTCCCTCTGCTCATGGGGGCCCCCTGCCCCTCAGAGTATGGGGGGATGCCATGCTCCCCTACTCTCTATCTGAAATCCCTTATGCACACCGCTCCTGGCCCAATTCTCAACTAGCTGTCAGGCAGAGGAAGAAGGCAACTCAGGCAGAGGAAGAAGGCAGCTCAGGCAAATCCCAGAATTTGCAAGGAGGAGTTTGGGGGACCAATGCTATTTTTAAGGAGATATTACTGGTGGGAATTTCAGGCATCACACGCAGGCCAGAAAGGGGGCATTTGGGGACAGGGACTCTGGGAAGAAGCCCACACATGGGACTGCCTCCTCCCCAGAAGGCCTCACGGCCGGTTCTCTGTTGCTCTTAGCTCAGGGTTCCAGGTCAGTGCCCTGCTCCCTGCCAGCAGAGCTTTGTGCTAATGCTGCTTAAATTGGGGGAGGGGCATTAACACGTGATCCCACTTCACCAGCCATCGCTGTGGCCCCTCCAGAGGCCTCTCTTCTCCCATATGTCATAGATGAGCTTTGGCAGATGTTTTTCTCCCCGGAGCCTGCTCCATTTTGGGGTCTTTGATGGCCCCCATGCCCTGGTCTCCAGGGGGTGGGTGTAGAGACAAGCCAGCTGTGCTCAGGCCTCTGGCAGTGTCTGGTCCCCTCCTGCGGGCACCCTGACACTGCCTGGGAAGGCAGCAGCCCAGAAACAGCTCAGGCCTTTTTTTTTTCCCTGGTTAGACATCATCCTTGTGACCTGGGGTAGGGTCCCCAGCCGGGACTGTCTTCAGACGTCCACAATTAGCCTCTGGAAGAAGCTGCTTCATCCTGGGCAACTTGCCCATAATCATCAGCCTGGGAAGGACCAGATACATCCCAAGGATCCCAGGGTCCTGAAGCCAGCCTGTTTGCCCCCACAGTCACCTTAAGCAGCTACTGTGAGCTCTGTGAAGGCAGAGGCTGTGCCTAATTCCTTTCTCTGTACCCACCAGGGCCTACTGAATACCAGGTGTTGAATAACAGTAGGTTAAATGAATAAATCGATCAATGGATTAATGAATGAAAACTTGACTGTTACTTGTCAGCAGGGAGTTTATTGGATGTCTACAATAGTCCACAATACAAAGACAGTCTGGTGTCTGGGTTCACAAGATTAACTCAGGAGCAGACAGCCTGAGTTCGAATCCCAGCTCTGCCACTTACCAGCTGCATGGCTTTGGGAAGCTTATATAACTTCTCTGGGCCTCAGTTTCTTTACCTGGAAAATAGGGGTAATAAAAAAGCATACCTCGAGGGGTTGCTATGAGGAATAAGTAGTTACTATAGGTAGAGTGTGTATGACAAGGGCCTATTCACATAGTGAATGTTCAGCAAATGTTGGTCATTATTACTCATTGTGACTCATGCATCAACAATGGTGTCAGTGCTGTATACTATATGCTAGGTGCTAGGGGAAACCAGAGAATTCCATCATTGCCATTCCTGCCCTCCAAGGTTCAGCTGGGAGACAAAACCCATACAGGAGGGACACTTTCCCTGGACCAGTCAGGGCTAACGGAAGAAACATGTGGGGGCCACTAGGTGATGGTGTGGGGAGAGGGCGGTGCAGAGGGCCATGAGAGGAACATGGGCCTCGCCAGTCAGGATGAGAGGATTGTACATCATGAAAGGTCACCCCTCTTCCTGAGCCCCTGGTAGCCATCTTAGTAGAAACGACTTCCTTCTAACCCCCTTGCTGAAGTTCTATGGGAAGGAAAGAGTGATGGGGAGTTCTTCCCAGAGGCTCTTCTTTGAGCCCAAGTGTCTCTGATGTCCCCAGTTTGAGTTCTCCAACAGCTTTGAACTGAACCCTGGGGAAATAAATGTGACCCTCTGCCTTTGGTCTCTAATGTGGAGGATCGTGCTGATCATTAGAAAAAAAGTAAACATCAGTTTGTGCTTGACTCACCCAAGCAGGACAGCCTGTAAGAAGCGATCAGAGGGAAGAGGCAGGTCCATGGGGAACGTGGCCTAAAGACTAAACTCTGACTGTGACCACAGGATGCTTACTCATGCCCTATCACTCCTAATGGCGACTCACAACTCCCAGGAATCATCTGGCATTCCAGCCCCTGCACAGTCCCTTCTAATTGCAGTCCTACCTACAGCCCTGCTTTCCTGTCTGGCAACTCCTAATCATCCTGTATAAATTTGACGTTGCCTCCTCTGGGAAGTCTTCCAGCCTACCCACCGAGAGGGTGCTCTCTCCTCCTGTGGCACCCTGTCCTCCCTCATAACTGTCCACAGTTGGTCCTCATCCCTTTGGTCTTCCCGGGGTCAGGTAATAGGTCTCATTAATCTTTGCATTCCTGGTTCTTGGCATCATTCCTGGCATGGAGTCGGCATCAATGAATGCCTGAGGAATGAATGGAGGAGCTGGGCCAGCACTACCCACAGAGAGATGAATGAGGACAGAAGCAGAAACCAACATCAGGAACTATCCCAGACCCCCCAACCCCACCAACAGGCTCACCCTGGTTGGTGACCAGGTCCAAGGTTCTGCCTTATCTCCAAAGCATCTCAGATAAGGCAGGAGCAATGCATCGTAGCTCCCTACCCGTCCCCTCCCTTTCTCCCTAGCAGGAGGAGCTGCCCTCCAAGCATCCTTGAGAGCATGCCCAGAGGAGGGAGATGCGGGGAGCAGTGAGGCCAGTTGCAGGATTCTGAGTACAGAGAGGAGCCAGGAGGACCAAATTCATGAAGTGACAATACAACCATGATCCTGGGAAAGGAGACTGGCTAAAGAGTGGCTGCTGGGACCTAAGGATTGGTTTCTTCATTATAGCAGGTGGGGGCTCAGGTTGCTTCAAGGACTCATGAGCTCTATTGCTGCAGGCAGATGGTTTCTCCCAGCTTTGGCAGCCAGAAGGTTGTGCTGCATGGCAAGATGTGCAGATTGCCCTGAATCTCTTCCTCCAGTGCAAGGTTACGGAGTGGTTAGTTAAGAACAATAGCATCAATCACCAACTGATGGGCCATTGACAGAGGCCAAGTGATCCCCGTTACCTTGAATCCCAGGGTTATGATCTTCTCTGCTCCTGATGGCCTTTCATTTGAGGTCACCTTGACCATTCTGTCTTCACCTTCAGGATCATCTTGGGCCTTCTCCCAGGACTCCTCCAGTCATGCTCCATGTTGGTGAAATGGCTCTGATACTTTCCCTTCCTTACCAGCCCACAGCCAGTATTCCCACCCAAACCCTGGTTATGTCACCCTCAGCTCATAGCAAATGCCTCCTCTTGAGTCCCTCCACCATCTCCACTTCTGGTCTACCCACCAAAGCCCTACTTTCTGAGATATATTTCTAATCATGCAGTTCCCTTGCTCACAACTTCCAATGGTTCCCCTGTCAACTTTGGTCCAGATCTCTTAGCTTGCCATTCAAGGCCCCCTCTGCTCAGATCTCAAATCCCAGATTTTTTTTAATGTACATCCAAGTTAGTTAGCATATATAGTGCAACAATGATTCAGGAGTAGATTCCTGAATGCCCCTTACCCATTTAGCCCATCCTCCCTCCCAAAACCCCTCCAGCAACCTTCTGCTTGTTCTCTATAATTAAGAGTCTCTTACGTTTTGTCCCTCTCCCTGTTTTATATATTCTTGCTTCCCTTCCCTTATGTTCATCTGTTTTGTATCTTAAATTCCTCATATGAGTGAAGTCATATGATTTTTGTCTTTCTCTGACTGACTAATTTCACTTAGCATAATACCCTCCAGTTCCATCCACGTAGTTGCAAATGGCAAGATTTCATTCTTTTTGATTGCCGAGTAATACTCCATTGTATATATTTACCACATCTTCTTTATCCATTCATCTGTCGATGGACATTTGGGCTTTTTCCATACTTTGGCTATTGTCAATAGCGCTGCTATAAACATTGGGGTGCATGTGCCTCTTTGAAACAGCACGCTTGTATCCCTTGGATAAATACCTAATAGTGCAATTGCTGGGCATAGGGTAGTGCTATATTTAATTTTTTGAGGAACCTCCATACTTTTTTCCAGAGTGGCTGCACCAGTTTGCATTCCCACCAGCAGTGCAAAAGAGATCCTCTTTCTCCGCATCCTCGCCAATATCTGTTGTTGCCTGAGTTGTTAATGTTATCTATTCTGACAGCTGTGAGGTGGTATCTCATTGTGGTTTTGTTTTGTATTTCACTGATAATGAGTGATGTTGAGCATTTTTTCATGTGTCTGTTAGGCATCTGGATGTCTTCTTTGGAGAAGTGTCTATTCATGTCTTTTGCCCATTTCTTCACTAGATTGTTTTTTGGGTGTTGAGTTTGATAAGCTCTTTATAGATTTTTGATACTAACCCTTTATCTGATATGTCATTTGCAAATATCTTCTCCCATTCCCTGGTTGCCTTTTAGTTTTGCTGATTGTTTCCTTTGCTGTGCAGAAGATTTTTATCTTGATGAGGTCCCTGTAGTTCATTTTTGCTTTTGTTTCCCTTGCCTCTGGACATGTATTGAGTAAGATTTTGCTGTGGCCAAGGTCAAAGAGGTTTTTGCCTGCTTTCTCCTGGAGGATTTTGATCATTTCCTGTCTTACGTTTAGGTCTTTCATCCATTTTGAGTTTCTTTTTGTGTATGGTGTAAGAAAATGGTCC